TAAATGAAATGGGTGCAGAGTGACAGTCAAAACAACACAGGCACTGACCCGTCAGATTGGATGTCAGATATAGCTGCCGGTAGTGTTCTGGAGCCTCCTAGTGTTCCAGCTGCTGCATCATGGGAAAGTTCAGGAACCTCGGGGGGATGGTTGTGGGGGAGGAGAGTCCTTGGGAAAGAGTAGTTATTTATCTACAGCCACAGGTATTTCACTGTTTAACAACCAGTATGGCTGTACAGATGTGTATCAGTGGAATAGTCACCCTGAATAAGTGTCCTGGGGCCAAACTAAGATAGTATATTAAAACATAACATGGTCCTGTGACATTCTCCAGGGCTTACGTAGGAAGACATTTGCTTTTCAGGGCAATCCCCTGGCGGTCCAGTGGTCAGGACTCTGTTCTTTCATTGCTGTGGGCCTGGGTTCAATACTGTAAGCCGCAGGGCGGTGTGGCCGGGAGAAAAAAAAAAAAGCATTTGCTTTTCAGCCACTGGGTTTCGGTAAGTGGGGAAGCAAAATGGAGGCACAAGTTGATATATAGAAAGGTCCTAAAAATGTTGACTAATTATTGGGGCTTCAACTGTAATGTATTCTCAAACGTAGAGATGAATGGAATGTGAAAGGGTTCATGGCTTATTGGGAGATCTGGAGTGGATGAACCACTACAAGAAGGGAAAAGGGTGCAGGTATGGAAGTGAGAAGTGGCTCATAATAGACCCTTAGTACTTGCTGTTGAATGAAGGTACAGTTTAAAAGATTGCAGGATGAATATCTGCTGATGTGTGCTAGGTCGGGTGTTGACTTTTTTGTACACGTGCTTTTAGCCTTGCAAAAATACAATATATCCCTGTAAAAACTGAAATACATTCTAAAAATGGAACTATTTTCAAGTCCTGTGATACGTACCAATAGCCCTGCTCCATTTCTTTGAGTGCTTATTTCTTTCTTTAGGCTGCTGCCAATAAGTGAGCCCTCATGCAGCTGTGGTTATTGCTAAAGCAGTACTTCAGAGTGCACGAGGTTTCCTTCTATCCTCTTTCCCCTTGTGTCTTTGTTAGTGTTTAACTAATTCACTTAATCAGTTACTGTTCAGCTCCCCAGGGAAATGTCTAATGGCATATTGGTTAGGGATTGAAATAAACATTATTCTCAAATGGGAGTTTCTTTTCTTGTATTTTAAGGGGTTTTCCAGTTTTAAGCATCATGTGATTTTTAGAAAAAAATTAGAAAGTGGTTTCCATAAAGGAAAATGAGCTAAATACATTCATTTATATGCCTCCTCATTCAAGCAGTGTGCTTTTAAACACCCATTAATTAAGTTTTTAGACCTAAGTATAACTTACCGGGAAAGCTGTTTCAAGGTTGACTTATTTTTCTGACTTGTTTTTTGTACGGTTTTTCCCAGACTCAAGCAATCCAGGTTAGCTTTTGGGCGACTTTTATCATTTAAGAGCTAGATGTACTTTAACCTGAATCATTTTCCTGCTAGAGCATTAAATCATTTTAAATATAACTTACTTTGAAGGGCACACTATGCCTTCAAAAACCTAAGTTTTACTTTTTTTTTTTGTATAGAGGCAAGAATCTAGAGTTGCCTAATAAGCACCCCAATCTGATATTTAGGGTCGTTGTTTAATTTTACTCTTCTTCCCTTGGTAGAGTATTTACACACCAGAAGCTTAAATCTTTTAATTCCTTTTTTTTTTTTTTTTTTTTGTACGCGGGCCTCTCACTGTTGTGGCCTCTCCCGTTGCGGAGCACAGGCTCAGCGGCCATGGCTCACAGGCCCAGCCGCTCCGTGGCATGTGGGATCTTTCCGGACCGGGGCACAAACCCGTGTCCCCTGCATCGGCAGGCGGACTCTCAACCACTGCGCCACCAGGGAAGCCCGCCTTTTGTGTTTTACTACTCTCTTTGTACCTCAGTAGTTGGTCCTGAATGGAATAATCATTCTGCCATTCTTGACAACTTAGTTTTATGACATTAATATTTCTTTCTGCTAAGTAATAAAAATGCTAAGAAAAGAAACCAATTGGATGTGGAATAAGACCCACAGCTTAAGCTGTTTGTCATCAAGTCAGATATAGATACCTCTGTGAAAGAGTGCAAACAGTTTCATCCCTCTCATTGGTAAAACCTTAAAAAATTAGTAGTGTCATTGTCATCATCCTTATTATACATTTAAAAATATTTTTTTCCAAAGTGGTTGGAAAAATATTTCAAAATCTTTTTTTTAAACAACACTGCTCTCTTTTTTAAAAATTTACTTATTTAAAAAAATAAAGTAATTTTTTCCTATTCTAAAAATTATAATGAATATCTTACAATTCCTAGTCCACACTTGTGCCAAATGCTCATTAAGTGGTCTTCCTATGTTGAAAGTTTTAAAAACATTGTTGTACGAGCCACTGACGTGTTAGAAACAGAAAATGATCTGATCAGATCTGTGTTCCACAAAAATAACTCTGTTTTTCCCCAAATATTAACTTTATCATTGTGGTTTTATCATAGGATGCATTAAAAATTGGTAAGCATTTCTTTCTCTTATTTCCATAATAATATGTTGACCTGGCAGTCTGTATAAAGAAACATGTGCTAGAGATTACAAATTTGGCAGAGAAGGGAATAGAGGGGTAGAAAAGAGTAAAAGAAATATGTCAAATTCTGAATACCAGTGCCTCATTTCTTTTTTTTTTAAATTGAAGTATAGTTGATTTACAATGTTGTGTTAGTTTCTAGTGTACAGCAAAGTGATTCATATATATTTTGGGGGGGATGGGAGAGAATTTTACTACATTCACCAAGTTAAAGGACAAGAACATACTGTAAACACAACTTAAAACAATTTAGAATCATAAGCAAAAAGTGAGGTAGACTGACTACTAAAATTCACCAAATTTTGGTTAAGAAAATTTTACAATAATGAAGTAACACAGGTGCCTCCTTTTCTAAAAAATCACAAAAAGCAATTGCATAAATTACAGCCAAAAAATTGAATACAACAACTCTCATTGTAATTTTAGTGTGTGTGTGTGTGTGTGTGTGTGTGTGTGTGTGTATTCCTTTTCAGATTCTTTTCCCTTATAGGTTATTACAAAATATTGAGTATAGTTCCCTGTGCTACACAGTAAGTCCATGTTGGTTATCTATTTTATATATAGTAATGTGTATCTGCTAATCCCAAACTCCTAATTTATCCCCCTCTCCTTCCCCTTTAGCAACCATAAGTTTGTTTTCTATGTCTGTGAGTCTGTTTTAATTTTGTAAATAAATTCATTTGTATCATTTTTTAGATTCCACATATAAGTGATATCATATGCTATTTGTCTTTCTCTGAGTTACTTCACTTAGTCTGATAATCTCTAGGTCCACCCACGTTGCTACAAATCCAGTGCCTCATTTCTTAATCTGAATTGTAATTAAATCTCATTTTAGTATGAGGACTGTGTCATGGCTATCAGCCCTCTAGATTTCAAAAGAGGTAAATTTACATGGAATAAAAAAGTTCCTCCCCTAGAAGCACTGATGGAGTATTTGAAAAACACATGAACTTTCATCAAAAGTTATTGACATGGTACTGGTTATGCAATCCAATCACTGTACATTGAAGAACTACATACTTTTTAAGTACCAAAAAGATAGTATCTTAAAGTATAAAATAATCTAAAAAGATAATGTAAATCTTATTAAAGTAAGTTAATTCTGTAGTGGGCTTCAGATACTATAGGCAGAATCCTATTGAGTAAAGAATAACTTTGAAGGAGGCTTGTGAGGTTGGCCCTGTCATCCTCTCTAAGTAAGATACACATACTTTTCTAAAAGTGTAATTGTATAAGACAGTCACACTTGGGCCATAGGCTTTGCTTTTTAAGCTTTTTAGTTCTTTGCCACAATACTTTCCATTGCCACTTCATTTTACTTCTCATTAGTGCTAGGTTAGTTCATCAAGAGACTGAGATATCATCATAGTGATGGACGGACCAAAAGCATACAGGTTCCATGAAGCGCCTCACATTTCCTAAGGTTTTGTTGTACTGACATTTCAGGATGCATTGGGCCTTAAGAACTGATGAGAGTAATGACAACATTTGAAAGCCCTACATTCAGGTCTGATTATTGGAGCACACTGACTAGATTAATGTTCAACAGCGGCTGTCCTGTGGATTCACGTAAGGAGTTCGGAGATGGCAGTTTTTTTCTTTTCTTTTTTCCAGTTCTATTGAGAAATAATTGACATACATCACTGTATAAGTTTAAGGCATACAGCAGGATGCTTTGATTTACACATATTGTGAAATGATTACCACAGTAGGTTCAGCTAACATCCATCTTCTCATATAGATACAATAAAAGGAAAAGAAAGAAAAGAAAAAAGGAAAAAGTTTTCTCCTTGTGATGAGAACTCTTAGGATTTACTCTCTTAACAACTTTCCTATATATCATACAGCAGTGGTAGGTATAGTGAGAGATGGCAATTTCATTCTTCTTTACTGGACTAGCCTTACTGCACAGTTTATTAAAACCTGCTTAAAAATAGCCTTTGGAATAAGACAAGAGAAGGGAAAGCCTTTGAAACAATGCAACTGTAGTAGGGAATTAATTTTCATGGCTGAAATAGCTACTTTTACTCAGGTTGGATTAATGAGATCAGACTTGATGTTGCTTTCTAGGTAGAGCACTACCACTAGCACGCCTCATTTTCTCGACTGCTTTCTGAGTTTTCAAAGTTACTAGGTGGTATTAAAGAACTGACTTTGTATAGTAAGTTCATATGTGGTTCAGTTTTTCATAATTTTCTCTATGATGTGTGCAGAGAAAGACATAAAACATGTGTGTACAGTTTAAAGAATAATTATAATGTGAATACTCAGGTAACCCCTGCCCGGATTAAGAAAAATTGCCAGCCTTCCAGAAGCCCCACCCTCACCATGTGCTCCATCCAGATGGCGACCCCCTCTCTCCTCTGGTTTTACTTCTGGCTTTATTGTCTTTACTTCTGTCATTTTCTTGCTTCTCTTTGGAATGTAGTCACTTACATTTGTGTCCTAAAATGATATAATTTAGGTTTGGCTGACTTTGAACTTACATGAATAGAATCATATTATGTGCTCTCTTGTGTCCAGCATCTGTCACTCATTTCACTTATTTAGCTTGTTACATTTGTGAGATTTTATCTGTGTTATTGGTATCCAGTGCCCTTTTTTAAAAAGCCTTTCTATATTTGCCTGTCTCCCCTGCCTCGTTTTTTTTTTTTTTTAAACTTAGGGTCCCTGTAACTCTAAATGCTTTCTGATATTTCTACTTTGCCTTCATAGATTTCCTGCTAAATGAGGTCTGAAAACTAAAACTTCTGGATCCCAGTTTTCTGAACTGACCTGACTGCCCCAAGTTTGATGACATTTGTTTAGATGAGACTACATCTTTAAGGCTTCTGTGCTCGGTTAAAAATCTTCCTTTCTCCAAGGCTGGTCCAAGGGTCTGGTCACGTGATTCCAACGGTGACATCACATTCTGACCGCCAGGGAACACTGGTGGTTCTTTAGGTGGCGTTTGTTCCTGTGAAAGGCAGAGAATGCAGCAAGTGCCCTTCTAAAGCAGTTCAGACAGGGGCTCCTTCTGTAAAAGCTCCTCAACCTAAATGAGCAAATGCGGGCTGCCAAGGTTATTTCTTCCTTGAGGCAGAAAAAAAGAAAGCTGTGATTGAAGGTAAGCAGACTTGAGCCTGGCCAAGGACCGAAGCGTGACCCCAGGGAGAAGGGGATCTGGAGAATCACAAGCAGTCTGTTGTCGGATTCTAATCACTGCCTGCTCTTTTAGAGCTGCCTGACAATTTGCATTTATAATAGGAGACTATCTACAAAGAAGGATGATGCAGTGCTCATGTTACCTAGTGATGTAATAGGATTTTTTCTTTCCTGTTAGGAAGCTTGTTGCAGATCTTCATTTTGTCTTAATATTCTTCCAGCTGGGGGCCTCATTTGATATACAGTGTAACGTTAGGTAACTATTGGGTGCTTTTAAAAATCAGTTTCACAAAATCCTTTGAAAATTTCTCCTGAAAGGAGCACACTTAAACCAGACCAAATTCAATTGAAGCATTAACCTGCTTTAAAAAGTCAGTTTCTGGTTGGTTGGTGTCCTGTGTTCATGTCAGCATTTGTCTTGAGAATTGAAACAGCTTGGTTCCCCCCTGCCCCACATACTTTAGTCTCTTTCTGCCCTCATTTCCCGGTTGGCTGTTTCCCTCCAAGCTCTCAAACAACGCACCAGCATTAATCTTTATCAGTATGCCACTGACATGATAGGAAATGCTGGGCTGGTGATTAAGCAGCCAACCATTTTATGGCCAGGTATGCTTGAAGATATGGAAAGGACTTTGGTTAGGGGTTTTAAGATTAACTTGTTCATCTCCTCCACTCCACCCTCACCCCACCCCCACCCTTATTATGATTTGGATTCTGCAGAGCTTTTCCTTTCATGTGTGTGTGTTGCTTGTGAAAGGTACGCTGAACTAGGTATTCAGGAGACTTAGACTTTGTAAACCAGGTGCAACTTGGGTGTTAATTCAAACTTATCCTTTGAGGGTGCTCAAGTTGTCTATTAGGAGTTTAGAGTGAAGGTGGGGGTGTGGATGGGGGAAGAGGGGGTCAGCTCAGGCCCACTTTGGCCTTCTTCACAGAGGGATTCATCACCAAACAGTCTCGATAGAACTTTGTCCCTGCCAAGGTTGATGCTGCAAATGTGAGCTGTGGCTGGTTGAGTTCATTGATGGCATTACTCTGCATTTTTCCTCATTGTGCATTTGCATGCATTCCTGAATACGGTTTTACATTTTGTGTTTAATAGTGAAATCTTGTTTCACCAGAGGATTGTGGAAATATTTTGAAGAAGTTTGTTAAGCAATACTAAGGAACCTTGTGTAAGTGCAACTTCTGAGTTTGAACACTCCTCCCTCATCCCAACTGTTCATCAAACAAACTTGGGTTCAGCTGATATTTATTGGCTCGTAGCCATGTGCTAGACACTGGAGAAGGCAATGGTAAATCAGATAATAGGGCTACCCTCAAAGAGCTTATAGTCTAGAAAAGAAGATAAAGCATTTGCTTAAGTAATTGTAGCAGAAGTGCTAAAAACGAAGCAGGTGAAGGACTGTGATTGTTGGCCAAAAGGATATGTTTCTTCCAGTTGAAGGATCAGGGAGGAACATGTCATCTCTGAGCCATGCACTTTTTTTAAAATCTCTACTTGGAAATCTTAGACTGTCCTGGTATACTCAGTAAAAGTTTCCACAAACCCATGGCATCAGGAATCAAAGTCTTATATTATGGAAGGGAAATATGTACATTCCAGGCAGCTTAACTCTAAAAGAGACCTACATGCTTTCTTTGGAGTCCCCACTCAGGCAAAAGCCACCTCTGAGGATGGAATTACTGCCTTATAAATGTAAAATGGTTTCTGACTTGATTTGTCTGCAAAGACCTTTGACCCTTTTGTCTTCATCCTAGAACAGAAACTGAAATACCTAAGCTGCTCCAAGCTCCTGTTTTTTGTTTCACAAATCCTTTCCCACTGAACTTCAACCCCTGTCAATTCTCCCTTTGTACTGTGGCTCTCATACGTCCCTTTCCATTCACACTGCCTCGAGATGCTCATCGTTCTGTGCCTAAGCCACAGGAACTTCTGAATGTGATGGATGTTCCGACCAGGTGATTATTCTGCTTTATCAGCACACCCTAACAGTAGTCATCTGATAGTTTAAGGGCTCACCTCTTGGTGCTCATAAAAGAGATATTAAAAATGTCCAGAGTGTCTGAAGTACTAATGTCTGTTTTCTGTTCAATCCAGAGGATAAGTCATACAATGGTGGAGGAATAGGTTCTTCAAATAGGATGATGGACTTCTTGGAGGAGCCAATCCCTGGTGTGGGGACCTATGATGATTTCAATACAATTGATTGGGTGAGAGAGAAGTCTCGAGACCGGGATAGGCACCGAGAGGTAAGACAAAAGATGCTTTGTGAGTGAGTGTTAGGAAACTTCAGGAGAAGAAGTTGAAGATATAGATTCTTTATATGTATTCTTTCCCTCAACACTGGATGTGGCTGAATCTGTTTTCTGTTGGACATGTAGGGTTTTATTTTTAATATATTTTTATTTTTAAGGTATCTTGTATATGATTTTGAAAAGAATTTATATTTAATGATGATTTATCTCCCGATAGTAAGTGGTTGAAAAGGATCCTTGGGTATAAATGCCTGTGCAGAGAGGTGAAAACAAAGTTGGTGGGAGGAACCAAATTAAATTTCAAAGATCTTCCTTCCCCATCTCATCTCTCTTTTATGGTTTTCCCTTGAAGCAGGATTTTTACACCTAAGAAAAGTAAATGGGCTCTTTTTAAAGGAATAAAAGAAAAAAAATCTCAGAGCTGTAGTGTTTACTGAAGCTTACAGGGTAAACCCGTGATTATAGCTCTTGTACAACCATAAAACCAAAGCAAATTTATGCATTCAACTCACACGAAACCACAAGACCAATCAAATTCAAATCAACGACATTAATATGATAGGTGATAGATGGTACTTATAGCTATGGCCCAGTTTGTTTTGAATATGACAAGAGTGTCTCCCTACTTTTCTCTTTTCAAAGTACTGTGAAAACTTTTCAGAGCAGTCCGCCAAGGTCATTTGCCTTTAACTTATTGCTCTGTATCATTTAAATCAGGGAATCACAATTTCTAGTTTGTGTCAGGAGCACATAGAGAGCTTATTCAAAAGGTAGGGCCCCAGCCCCAGTCATCCTGATTCAGTAGGGAACATTTCTTCAGCCAACAGTAAGTATGATTATTTTTTCTTCCTTACTATTTCTGCTTTGATTCCAAATTTAAAATTCGATTTTTAAGTTGACTCCATTCTCTCCTAAATTCATGATTTCCTCCTCTTAGACCTGAGTGAATCTCCTGAGCAGTCAGGTTCAGATCACTTTTCATTCCTTTCCGAGCTCCTGACTGGCTTTCTCAAGACCACCTAAACCCAGGAGTCAGGTTGTCCCAGGTACAGGTTTTGAGAAATTTCTTTGTAGTCCTTGGATTTGTCATAATCCCATAGAGTTTTCTTCTCCTAACTCAAAAAGGTGATCTCTATAAAACATTCGTTTTTTTTTTATAAGATTCCTGCTATTTGGGAACATACACACATATGCTTTCTGTTATATCAATTCATCAGGCAGCCTTTAAAATATAGAATCTTACGGCTTTAGAATTTTTGCTATCTGTATTCAGAGTTCAGTTTGTCACCATTTGCTTATTCAACATGTTACTCAGATTGTGAAAGCCACCTGTGATATGACAAGGGCACATTTCCCGTTATATCAAAATGGTTGCATCTGAGGCACCTTATATCAGCTAATAATAATTTAAAATCAATTAAAATGTGTTTATCAAATGTTCAAAGGTGACCTTTTTTTAGCATTAACTGTTCATCATCTGAATGGAAACAATGTCATAGGGAAAAGTATCACCTCATCTACTTTCAGCACTTAAATTGGAAACTTAAAGTCATAAGTCAAAATGAAATTTTAAACTGCTTTTAAAATTTTATAATAATTTATTACTTGTGATGTTACTGCAGATCAAGATAGGGTAGCTAACTTACACTTTCAAAGATAAGAAATAGAGGTACAGGGCTTCCCTGGTGGCGCAGTGGTTGAGAGTCCACCTGCCAATGCAGGGGACATGGGTTCGAGCCCCAGTCCGGGAAGATCC